TTATGAAATATGAATTGAATATGTGAAGAATTTGCTTGGGTTCTAGTACAGTGTCAATATGACATCTATTAGAAACAATCTTTACAATATGACACTCAGATGATAATGAGTGTTTATAGATGAAATGATGTAACAGGCGTTATATCTCAGGAACGGGTCTCTTGCTTTACATCATGGGGTCTTCGGCATCAGAGGGTTTGAAAACCTTTGTGTCATGAAATGGGTTTGCAAAACATGACCGTTCAGTCCAAAACTAAATCATGACCTTCACAAACAAGAAATAAGAATGACCAGAATCATAATTAGCACGGTTAAAGCTCTCAGCTTTCTCTCCATATTGTTGATATTTCGGTGATGAAATCATTTAACGAGCGCTTCATGTTGTTGTGTGTGATGTCTGGGTATTTGAGAACAGGTTTGGGTCAGTGGTGGTCTCTCACGGTCACTCTTTAACCATCATGACTGATGAGGACCGAAGCAGATGAGAGATGAGAGACTGGGAACATCCATTCACACAAGCACAGTCACGGAGAATCACAGTGACGCTGAATAAACTGCTCCGCACAGCAGCGACGGCACTGGAGAAGAGCTGCTTCTTTGAGAGCTTGCTTTTGACTGGGATCTTTGTTTCTGACCAGACGAGCGAGAGCAAAGATGTAAGCTCAGGTTTGCACTGACTGTACTGTACTGTAGTACTGTTGGTTTAAATGTTCTATTGTTCCTCAATGCATGTGTCCAGTCAGTAAAAATATCAGACTTAACTAACATTTTCATAAGCATAAGACATGTTAGTGTATCAGTTTAAAGAACACGATCTGGACTTACCAAACTATTTCACAACTACTTTTGTTTTTCTCACAAGTTTGTAACAAAAATCCACTTAAAAAATGAATCTGTTTGAACGAGCACAGCGCTTCTGTCTGAGATCTTTTCTTTCTCACATTATATGAAGTGTTGTGTAGGTCATAGCTGATAATACGAGTCCCTTCAGTCTCCTGAGCTCCTCAAGACGGACCACAAACCATCCACTGAGCATATGTAGCTGCGCACCAACACTCTCACGTTTGAGGGAAATGCCTATACACTATAAACTCACAGAAAACTTGATTTTACTTAAAGTGTCACGAAACCCCTCTGTTTCAGCGCTGGTCTTTCACTGCTTAGATCTGAAAAAGACTCCAGAAATGGGTGTGTAACGCTGTGGAAAAGTGGGAGTGACAACAACCAATAAAACACAGACCTACAACACACTCATTATACAGACAAATGAATATTAAAATATCTTTAAAACAGAAAGAATAAAGGCAGTTCTTTGAATTTTCGGTCTGTATCATTGTCTGCTGTGTATCACAATAATCCAGCATGGCATCGCGTGTAACACTCCAGAGACAGAGGAAAAGTTGAAATCACATCATATGACCTCTTTAAACTCACCCAGATTTCTGACCGCTGGTGATGGGTCTCGTGCTGTAGATCCAGACTGGCAGAGCTGATCAATCGGACCACACTCGCAGCATTAAGAACAGTTGCAATGGACACTATTAGAGCTTAAACGCTCTCAGATGGAACGACTGGACCGCCACATAGTGAAAACTCACTCGCATCAATTTCCTTCAATGAAATGAATCTGTCTTGTGTTTTGAGGCCATGTGTGGCATGTAAACACCATACGACTTTCAAAGTCTGCTGAAAGGTCTCGTGGGTAAATAAAAGCTTCTCGTCTGGGCTCGATTTAAACAGCACTGATCTGTATGTTACTGATATCCAATAAGAAGAGTAAGAATAACCCGACTCATTTACAGTAGTCTAGAATTAGGCTTATTCTGTGATTAAAGAATTAAACTGGAGCGTCTGGGACCACTGGACATGTTGACACTGGAAGTGTTTGAAAAACACCGTCTTCTCTTAAAATAATGGACAGCATATTGTAAACTGAGAATACTAAAAAAATCTTCAGTGGACTGGAAAACACACTGAAGTCAGTCTGACTTTGTATTTCACAATTACAACTTTATATCTCCATATTTTACAGCTGCAACCTTTTCTCATAATTGCTACTTTGTATCACACAATGTGGATTTGTAACTTTACCAAGTGACTCACAATGTTACTTCTTATTTGTAACTTTCTCTCACATTAACCTGTTTATTTGGAGTCTTCCATAGTTTCAGACCCTCGTTAACGCTCACAGCTCATTCAGACAGCGACGGACAGAGAATCAGTGTTGTTCTTTCTCTTCTGAAGATGCACGCTTCTCAAACTGTGTTGGCCAGATGAGAAAATGGTTTGTGTAATTTAACAGTAACAAGTCACAACTGGGAGTACAAACTCATAAATCACTGAGAGATTCAGCGCGGAGGAAATGAAAGCGAGTTGTTTGTTCCTGTTAGTTCTGCTGCGTTAGAAGATGGAGGTCATTAAGATGAAAGAGTCTGAGCATCTGCTGAGATGCTAGTAATGATAGACACAGACAAACACTGGGACGTCTGACCGATCTGGACTACAGAACATTAGAAGTGCTTCAACAATAGATATGTGCAAGCCACAGCAGCAATCACACACGTTATATTTGCAGAAGCTCCCTCTTCATGAACCCAAAGCGTGAAAACTCTCACATGTGACTGTAAAGAGCAGATGTTCTCACATTCAGAGTCAAACCCGTAAATGTGCGTCCTGTAGCAAAGCTACAAATGAAAGCACATCCGTTTGAAAGATTTCTGGGCATAAAGAGCTCCACGCAGCAGCCGGAGATCCAGACCTCAACACAAGCCTCTCAAAGGTCAGAGGTCAAAGCCAGGTACACTGCAGTCGTCTGTGCTGGAACATCCATCCGTCCTGACGGGACACTCGGAGGAGATTTCTGATGCTCAAACACCTAAATCACTTTATTAATCACTACATCTGTCTTGTTTTCCAGTAAAATATCTAAAAATCCTTTAAAGGGGTCGTGAACTGCCTTTTTTATTATTTTGTACTGTCCTCTGATTTTACATAAAAAAGCATAATTTATAAGTAATAGGCTATTTTGTTTATTTTTAAAGCTGTTTTAGACTAACGAGAAAGTGTTGAGTTCTGAGTAATGACCTCTTATACGTCAAAACATCAAGGGACTTTTGGTTTAAACAAGGTATAAAACATACTTAATTAAAATTATGAAAGAAAATTACTTAGTTCTGAAAATGTATTATACATATTGTAAGTTTATAAAAAAAAATATATATATTTAATATATTTTAAATAAAAAAATTAAATCATAAAAATGTAAATACCTTATACAATTTATAAAACGATATATAAATTGCCTTTATTTTTTCATTCCAATAATATATATATAATCATTCATCTAAAAAAAGTATATTGATATAAAGCATGAAAAAATATACATCAATGGGTCAAAAAAATCTTAAAGATGTACTGTAATATATGAAGTATTTATATTTTTAGATATTCTTTGAAAGTTTTATTAGGATATTTGTGCTGGAAATCAGGCCATTTTTGTTGTCGTTCAGTAACGACTGTAGTGTTGTGTCGGTCTTACTGTGAATTCCTCCAGGACTTTATGCAATGTGTGTTAAATATACGCACAAAGTCTTGGACTACACATGAAGCAGCTCGTGTATGTTCTCGGACCCCAGACTCCTCTGCTCAGGGACTAGCAGCGGTCACAAGCCGAAGGCTAAACACATCTCAGTCTTGTGTTCCTGTGCCTCCAGCAGACCTCCAGATCATTCATGAGTTAGAAAACAACTTCAGACAGAGATTCAGAGCGACTGGTGTGTTTGTCTCTGTCTCATGCACTACCTATGAAATCATAAAGACTCCTGAAGCTAGTTTAGATATTACTGGGTCAAAGGTCAGGAGAAATCCTCACGTGCAACAAGTGAAGCAGTGAAAGTTACGAAAACTATTCATCTTCAAACAGTCACTAATTCTTCTGTTTTTCCGCTTATTAAAGCAATTATGATTCAGAATCAAAACAAACTGATTCTGCCACGCACAACAGACAAAGACCAAGCGCTGTAATTCCTGCCGTCATCACAGTATTTCTGAATGACCAGATTCTCAGATATACAATACAGTCAAGACCAAACATAACACAAACCTCCTAAAGTCTCACTGAAGGCTGGGATTTCACCTCAAATAAACTGGACACAGCAGAACAGGACAAACATCCCGAATCTCTTCATCTTCCTTCATGCTTTCCATCGTTTCATTTACAGATCAGCGTTTATTCCCTCAATCAGCACAAGATTTATCTAGAAAACCCCTTTAAGTTTGAAATAATGAAATGTAGGCAAGATTTCACAGGCATAAAAGCTTTCGGTTGATCAGCGTGGAAATACAGTCCAGATAACTGGATTTTGCCTGCAAGATTTCACTGAAAATGTCAATTTATATCATTATGTTTCATTCTGATTTCTGTAATGTTTGGCCACTTTTAATTTAATACATCTCTTGACTAAATGTTTGCTTGTATGGAATAACAGGCTTCTGGAAACCAGTGCATCATGTTGGTGGTGCACTAGATATAGATAGAGATTATGGCGCCCTCGTGTGGACATGCGATGTAATGTAGACACCCAGTATAATACATGAACCATCACCACATGACTCTTTTATCTGCCTTATTATTAATGTAAGAGAGGATATTTTAAACTGTCAGTCGCTCAGTTATTTATCTGTACAAAAAACCAGTACGTTATGATGCTTGTTGTTGTAAACTGGAATTGTTTTCGCATTATTGCATTACTTTAATCACAAACACTGGTTTAATGGGTTTAGTGCAATTCATTTTGATTCTTATTTCTCTCTTTTTTTTGGTAAATGAATGCAAAAGGATTGCAATATTTTTTTCTCATCACCTTGTCAAATAAGGTGGACACAACGTCTAGATAAAAATACAAATGCATGAGAAAACCAAACCGGAGCTGATCTTGTGTTTCTCATTGGTCGGGGGAAATTAAGATTCCTTCTTCATTAACATATAAAATGTATCAATCAGAAAAAACAAAACCCCAACAGCTGAGGATTCCCTTTTATTCTTAAAATTGTATGTACAAGTGCAACTGATTTACTTCTTTATTAATGTACATTCAATATAGAAAGTTTATGTACGGCATATTACATTTAACATTTCACAATTAGTCTTTCACATACATTTGTAATCAGAGTCAGTACAATTTGTCCTTTGTCTTTTCAGACGCTCATTTGCAGTTGGTCTTGATGTAGGTATAAATAGTCGAGTGCTTTCTGGGGAAGGAAGGTTTTTGTCGGTTTACAGAACGATGAGATGAGAGACAAACCAGGACAGATCACAAGCAGTGCGGCACAATCAAATAATCACAGTTTCACAGGTTCCTTCTCAAGTTTCTCGTTCCTTCTGATACCAAGCACTTACTCGAGGACTTCAGAATAAAAGTAAGAATATAGAGATGCCAGAAGTCCAGACATGAGCTGAATGTGAGACGCAGGAAGACGAAGAGACAGGAAACGAAAAAAAAAAACAAATGCATAAAAATCTCTCAATACAAAAGTAAACTATTTTACTCTCCATGGAAAGAAATTATTTACGAGATGCGAGTGGATATAAAATGATAGAGGAGGAAGGGATCATGAAGTGCTGTGAGGGAGGATGATGGGCGCTCTCTCTCCGTCTGTTTCTCCGTCACTCTCAGGATCAGGATGGCGGCGCTCCGGAGCCGGTCCGTCTGTGTCCGGGTTTGTCTGGTGTTGTATTAGTCTGGTTCAGCCCAGGTCTCCGGTGTCGTTGTCTACGGGCGGCGGGACGCTCGGCATGACTGTAGAGCCGCTGCCTGCTGTCAGATAACCTGCCACTCCTGGACCTGAACACCACACACACCACACATTATCAGCATCATCATCATCATCATCATCACACACACACACATCACTCACCATCATCATCACACAAACATCACACACCATCATCATCATCATCACACACCATCAGCAGCATAATCACCATCACTCACCATCATCATCACACACCATCATCATCATCATCATCACACATCACTCACCATCATCATCACACACACATCACACACCATCATCATCATCATCATCACCATCACACACCATCATCACCATCATCACACACCATCATCATCACACACATCACACACCATCATCATCACCATCAACACACACACACACACACACACAATCATCACACCATCAGCATCATCACACACAATCATCACCATCACACACATCACACACCATCATCATCATCACACACGCCATCATCATCACACACCATCAGCATCATCATCATCACCATCACACACATTACACACCATCTTCATCTCACACCCTCATCATCTTCACACACACATCACACACACCATCACCATCACACACCATCATCATCATCACCATCACACACACATCACACACCATCACCATCACACACCATCACCACCATCATCATCACCACCATCACACACCATCATCATCACCATCACACACCATCATCATCATCATCATCACATCACACACATCACACTCCATCACCACCATCATCATCATCACACACATCACACACCATCATCATCACCATCACACACACACCACCATCATCATCATCACACACATCACACACCATCATCATCACCATCACACACACACCACCATCATCATCATCACACACATCACACACCATCATCATCACCATCACACACACACCACCATCATCATCATCACACACATCACACACAATCACCATCACCATCACACACATCACACCATCATCATCACACCATCACACACCATCATCATCATCACCATCACACACATCACACACACCATCATCACCATCACACACCATCACCATCACACACACCTTCATCATCATCATCATCATCACACATCACACTCCATCACCACCATCATCACACACATCACACTCCATCATCATCACACACCACCACACACCATCATCATCATCATCACCACACACACACACTGGTCATCATCATCACCACACACACACACTGGTCATCATCATCACCACACACACACACTGGTCATCATCATCACCACACACACACACTGGTCATCATCATCACCACACACACACACTGGTCATCATCATCACCACACACACACACTGGTCATCATCATCACCACACACACACACTGGTCATCATCATCACCACACACACACACTGGTCATCATCATCACCACACACACACACTGGTCATCATCATCACCACACACACACACTGGTCATCATCATCACCACACACACACACTGGTCATCATCATCACCACACACACACACTGGTCATCATCATCACCACACACACACACTGGTCATCATCATCACCACACACACACACTGGTCATCATCATCACCACACACACACACTGGTCATCATCATCACCACACACACACACTGGTCATCATCATCACCACACACACACACACACACACACACACACACACACACCATCAGCATCATCATCACACACACCATCATCACCATCACACACACATCACACACCACCACCATCATCATCAGCAGCATCTTCATCACACACACACACCATCACCATCATCATCATCAGCAGCATCTTCATCATCACACACACATCACACACCATCATCATCACACACATATCACACACCATCATCATCACACACACACACACACCATCAGCATCATCATCATCAGCAGCATCTTCATCATCACCATCATCACACACCATCAGCATCATCTTCATCATCATCATCATCACACACACACACACACACCATCAGCATCATCTTCATCATCAGCATCAGCATCATCACACACCATCAGTCTATATTGGCCTACACGAAATGTATTTCACTTAAATCATTGACAGATTAACAAAACGAAAGAAAAAAAATTAGCTGAGTTTCGGTTTATTGTGACACGATCCAAAGTTCACGGAAAGGAAAACGAGACAGCAGAAAACAGTTTTCTTTATTTTGCAAAAGCTTTACAGTTTTATTTATTTTACAGTTTTATTTATTTTGCAAATCTTGACAGTTTTGAATGATGTTTTGCTTCTATCTGTATAACCAACCAGCGCTGGTATGACCATATCGCGCCGGCGCCTCACGCGCACACAGACACAACATATTTTTGCGACGTTGCAGCCTGTTCATGATCAAAATAAAATAGAGTTAAAGAAACATAAAAAGTTGCACTGCTCCATTGTACGATCTGTTGTGTTCAGCGAGCACCGCCTCACTGTGCTGATACAGGAGGAAGGATGATGTAGATGCAAGTGAAGTACAAGCCTATTACATAATAAATAATATTTTAGCATCCAGATACGTCGCGAATATGGAAACACTTGGATGCGTACCGAATGAGAGAGGTAGACATCAGTTTCACCTTAAATTAATTTGTATTTGGATTGACGTTTTTATAGCCTAAATGCATAGCCTTAACTTTAGAGGATTTGTTGTGGAGAGAAGGAAACTAATAACTGTGTTTATCATAGGCTCTATATATATATATATATAAAATTAAATTTATGCATTTAGCAGACACTTTTATCCAAAGCGACTTACAGTGCATTCAGGCTATACATTTTTTACCAGTATATGTGTTTTCCCTGGGAACTGAACCCACGACCTCTTGCGCTGCTAATGCAATACTCTACCACTGAGCCACAGGTACTGAGCCTAATAATAAAATGCGACGTGACCCTACGCAACTTTTTTTTTTTTTCTCTCAAAACACAATTTTATACAAGTAGCATTTTTTTAACAATGCAGCAAACATTTTTTAATATCTTAAAAAATACTTTAATGTCTTTAAAGCATTAACAGATTTTTATCTTTTGTTTAGTAGCCTATAATTTGGCCAAAATCTGGAAAAGCTGATGCTGTATTGGCTGTGACTAAGCGCAGCGGGTTAAGATACCAGATCTCTTCCTGTTTTTTCTTTTTCTTTTTTGAGTAGAAAACGCTGCACTTTATTATTATTATTATTAGGCCATTATTATTATTAATGGATTATAAGCGCTTCTTATTACTAGTTTGTGAAGATGTTTGGGGTGTTTCGTTCCCAGATGCACGTTAAAGTGACTCAAACTCATTACAGATGCAGATGATGATTGATGCAGTTCAATGTGGATCTTTTACTGTGAAACAATTTAATGAACTTATTTTATCGTGCATCTTTAATAAATGATGACATTTTCCATTTGGAACATCACAGATGTGGATGAAATGTTCTGTACTGGTAGCTGGCTGGGAACATTTCCCGCTAACATTTGAGCTCTGTTGAGCGGATTCTTAAACACTGCTGATTGGCTGTGTGAGCCATGATGTGAAGCAATGATCATTGTAGCCAATCACAGTCATATCTGTTGAGCGCGTAAACACAATGGCCAATCAGCAGAGTTTAAGAATCCGCTCAACAGAGCTGAAATGTTAGCGGGAAATGGACGTTTTTAAAATGTCAGTACCGACTGGTATCGTGGTAGGCACTTTTGACAACACTAGCTGGGAATGTGACCTTTGATGGAAACACTCATTACAGCGCTGCACTGAAGAGCGGAAACACAGATGGAAATGAGTATGAAATGAAGCAGAAAGAGAGATGAAGCCATCAGAGGACAGTCTACCTGCTTTACAGTAATAAAGAGGAGGCTGGAAAAAACCAGGTGAGCTACTAAAGCCCACTGCGCAGCGGACTGCTGCCCGCCAGGAGAGACGGAGCGGACACACCTGAGAGAGAGAGAGAGAGAGAGAGAGAGAAGTGGAGAGAGAGAAGAGGAGAGAGAGAAGAGGAGAGAGAGAAGAGGAGAGAGAGAAGAGGAGAGGAGAGTGCAGAGAGAGAGAGAGGAAGCAAGCAGACGTCAGAACCAGCAGATGCAGAAACTGCAGCAGAAAGACCAGACAGCTCATATCAGACCGGCTACAGTCAGCGGGTCAGCACTGGTGAGGATGGGTCAGCACAGGTCAGTAGAGGTCAGGACGGGTCAGCACGGGTCAGTAGAGGTCAGGACGGGTCAGCACTGGTGAGGACGGGTCAGCACGGGTCAGTAGAGGTCAGGACGTGTCAGCACGGGTCAGTAGTCAGGACGTGTCAGCACGGGTCAGTAGAGGTCAGGACAGGTCAGCACTGGTGAGGACGGGTCAGCACTGGTGAGGACGGGTCAACACGGGTCAGTAGAGGTCAGGACGTGTCAGCACGGGTCAGCACTGGTGAGGACGGGTCAGCACGGGTCAGTAGAGGTCAGGACAGGTCAGCACTGGTGAGGACGGGTCAGCACGGGTCAGTAGAGGTCAGGACAGGTCAGTAGAGGTCAGTACGGGTCATGACGGGTCAGTACGTGTCAGCACAGGTCAGGACGGGTCAACACGGGTCAGTAGAAGTCAGTACGGGTCAGGACGGATCAGTACGGGTCAGAGTTCAGCACGGGTCAGCACAGGTCAGTATAGGTCAGTACTAGGGCTGGGTATCGATTCAGATGTCCCGATTCGATTAAATTCATTTCGATTCGCAAGCTCTCGATTCGATTCGATTCTCGATTTAGTAGTCAGTATGGGTCAGTACGGGTCAGTAGTCAAGAATAGTCAGTAGTCAGTACGGGTCAGTAGTCAGTACGGGACTGCTCATCCCTCACATGAGGCGCTGTGTGCTGGACTCACCCGTCAGGTAACCTGCGGTCTGGGAGTCGGAGATGAAGAGGTCATGTTTCTGGTCTTTGAAGGCACTCCACACAGTGGAACGAGAGAGGATCTCATTCACCTGAAACAAACCACACACACGTCATTTCAGATCACTGGCTTCAGTTCCAGAGGGTTCTAGCGCGCTGCTGGACGAGGACGATACCTGTTCTCCGAACTGCAGGCTGCGTGTCATGGATTTGAGCGCTTTGACGATCTGAGCTTTGGTTGCTGACGGGTTTTCAAGAGTCTCCAACCCGACTCCCTCCAACAGCTTCAGCAGGTACGGCACCAGATCCACCCGAAGAGCCTGAACACCAAAGAACATTAAATTACAATGAATCTATTAATAATAATAATCGGAAAAGATCGATTCGCGGCTTTTGAGAATCGATATCGAATCGACGTCATTTAAAAAAACGATTAATCGAAAAAAAAATTTTGCCCAGCCCTAATCAGTACGGGTCAGGACGGGTCAGAGTTCAGCACGGGTCAGGACAGGTACTGCTCATCCCTCATACGAGGCGCTGTGCTGGACTCACCCGTCAGGTAACCTGCGGTCTGGGATAGTTTAATACAAAAGACCGAAAAACTAATCACAGAGTAGCCTACTTTTTCGTTTAAAAACATGAGATGCAGTGGGATGGGGAAAAACCGCCATAAAGTCTCGAGACGTGTTTTTTAAAAGTTGAACACATTAATTTTACATGTCTTTCTAAACATGCCGCTCTCTGCGAGACACGAGTGCAACGGTGATAGATGTCCCTCTAGAAAATGCGTTCTGTGTGAACGGCTTGGTTTCAGTTTGGACGTAAACAACATCTTCTCTGCATTGATGTTCTCTTTCCGCAATATTTTGAATGAACAATGTAGCAGCGCCGCATCTAGTGGGTTCAACTGGATAAGCTATGAAAAACATTATAATGCAACGACACTTACATTGCATCTCGTGCGCCACTGATAAGGCTTCCTGACGCACACCTTAAATTGTGGATTTTTATTTTAAATTCGACGAATATTCTGAAAAAAATGTTGACAGCCCTAGAAGAGACCTCTTTAAGAAACATTAAAAATAATCCTAAAAACCCTAACCAACTAGAAACTTGTAAGAGTTTTTAAATGAATTAAAAACCTAATATTAAATGAAAAAATGTCTGTAGTGTGTGCGTCACCTGTGCGACCAGTTCGGTCTGCTCTCGCTGGAACATGCGGTTCAGAGCCTCGCAGGCCAGTCCTGCCATATCAGCCCTGAGCTTCATCCCCGTCATCAGCGGGCCGATGGTGTCTAACGCTGCCATGGAGCGCACGCACAGCTGCACACACACACATACACATCACTCACAGATTCACAGCATCACACGCAGAGCAGGCTGTGTTTGCGCTGTACCTCGTTGTCTGAGAGCACGTGGATGAGTCGGATGGCACTCTTGGGCACGGCGTTGTTCTTGTGGTTGAGCGCGGTCAGGACACGAGGCAGATGACCGAGAGGAGGAACCTGATCAGCCAGCTGCGTCTGTGAACTGAAGAGACACACGGCTGCGGTGCTCACCGTCTCCAGAGCCTCACCCTGTGACAGAACAACAGGTTCAACATTTTTGGGTGAACTAACCCTTTAATCGCATCCAAAATTAAAGTTTTTGTTTACATAGTATATGTATATACGTTATCGAGTATATTGCAAAAGCAAACAAAACACACCTACAGAGCACACGTATACATTACGTGATCAAGTGTAGTCGGCTAGACTAGTGCGCATTTAGAGTTCACTGCACGAGTCAGTCTATTAATATGCATTTAGAATGATCACAATATTCAAGATATGGAGGCAGAAAATGTATACATTTATATATAAATCACACGAAGAGTGCCGTTTTTTTCCTCCAAAAATTTACATGATTACAAATGTGATATTGATTTTATACAAATATATTAAGAGACACGTTTTAGACACCATATTGCCTGTTTTTGCTCTATTTCGACAACAAAACTCATTCCAAACACAGCACTGTTCTGCGTCTCTGAGCAACATGATAGTGTTTCGTTCCTGAATGAATCAACCGTTTAAATGATTCGGTTCAGTCGCAATGACTCACTTATTAACAGTGACTCGCTGCCACCTACTGGCGGTTTTAATTTCACATTTAATGTATCTATTCATTTTTTTTTAATAAATTCAAGTATCAGTATTCAACATTTTATGTTTAAAATATCAAAACATTATTTATGCATTTGAAGCTGCAGGTTAAAGCACCCCATGTCTCTCTGAGCTTCATTAAACAGTGTGTAAACGCATCTAAATGCCTCTTCAGATGCAGCTTCTGTGTTTCCTCTGCATTGCAAAGATTAATTGATACTGATATCATTTGCTTGGTAACAGCCCAAATGTCTTATTATTCTAATTCACTGATTAAATGTAAGAATTTGATTCAAAAGATGATGTACACTTTTAGAAAAAATGGCTTTATAAAGGTAACAATGCCCATAAAAAGTAAACATTTATTGTAAACTTATTGGAAAAGATTCATTTCTGTCACTGCAGTAAACTGGCCACCACAAAGAATAAGAAGAATATCAAAAACTTTAGGAGTCAGTTTAAGATACCAGCACAATAACACACTCAGCAAAATATCGCCTAATTATTGTTAGCGATAAAATCCCATCATTTTTTGTCCACACGGCAGACAGTCAGACTCAGACTCACGTTTGGGCTGTTCTTCTCCAGCAGAGCGGTCAGCGTGTCCATCAGCGACACCAGGAACTCTCTGGGCTTGCGTAAGACCCAGCCGGGCTGAGAGATGAAGATCCGCAGAAACACCCCGCCGACCTCCAGCTCGCCCTGACCCGCTCCGTAGGCCACCGAGAAATCCTCCGCCAGCTGCAGAAACACACATTCACTCAGCAGG